ATAATATTAAATAAAAATAAAATATCTTTTTAAATATTCTTCTCAATTGTTTCGTAATATTATAACACTAATAATACACATTCAACAATATATTTGTGTTGTATTAATATTATAAAATAACCACACAAAGTTAGTATATTTCAAAAGAAAATTGATTTTTATTTAATAATTTCTTCAATATATTATTTATAATAAACATTGTACGAAATTATTATGAATAATGTTCTGATAACGCGTGATTGATTCGAAATAAAAAATAATTAAAAATATATGTATAAAATTAATTTCAGATCATCTTTGAGGTTCTATTGTTGACGCAAGAGTGATCAACTGTTACAGTTTAATATAACAGTTGCTATACTTTTCAAGCATATATGACTTATATATTGCGACCGCACTCACGAGCGTGGTGCAACTTCGTCGCTCGTCCGACCCGCGTAACTCCGCGAGAACGATAAACGGGAATCTAATGCGCGATTAACTGTAACTCAGGCATCTCGCCTATCGAAAACGGGAATAAAGTTGGGCGCCAGGCACGTTATAGAGAGTGCCTCTCTACTGAAAAATCTCGTTGTTCTGAGATCGAATGACTCGAGAGAAGATTAGTTAATCACACGGTCAGGTGCGAATTCAATGCAACGGTCGGACAAGGACGGCGATAACCGGTGGCTCAGTTACGATAAGGGTAAAGGGGGTGATTCGAAGGAAAGCGGCCAAGGTTCGGGGAGCGAGAATAGGCTGAAAGAATCGACAGTAATTAGTAACAATAAGAAAATAACAAGTGTATTGAGCGAACGAGTATTACAGTCAAAATTACAAACGAGAATACGATAATCGGCGGGAATACTTGAGACGCGCAACAATGCAGCGTACTCGGCGTGACAGACTCGCAATTCGCGCTTTTCACGATCGTACGACAAGATCGTGTCTCGGAAACGGAAAATTAAGAGCGGTTTCTCTTTCGGCGGTACGACTCGCTGATTACCGGCCCATCCGCGTGACATGCGAAATCATGAAGCATGCAGTGCGGGCGTGACATTCGCGGGTACGCCGGCGCGGAGCGC